ATGACTTGGTGCCAGCCTACTGCTCTGAGTCTCTCTCCCTTCCTTCTGAACACTGGCCTTCTACAGTTTTTGACTTGTTATTATCCTTGGGGATTTTGCACTCAAGCATCCCTTTGCCTGAACCACTACTCTTACCTTAGATCATTGCAGATAGACTCCTCCTCCATCATTCATGGCTCAAGTCGCAAGTCTCCTCTTCAAAGAGGCCCTCCCTGACCACTTTGGCTAAAGCATAGCTCTGACCCACACTCTAGTAAATCACCATTTTATACTAGTCAAAGTATTTATCACTACCTGAAAAATCATGGCTTTTAATCTATTTATTTATTGTCCATCTCTTCCAACACATAAGGACTTTGTCCATCCTGTTCACTGCTATACCCTATGCCAAAACTGTTCCCTGCACATTATGGATGAAAAATAATTACATGCTGAATGAATGGCCTCCTATGGCCATGGCTCAAATTTCTTTGTCTCTGAACAAATGTTTAAGTTTAATAACCTGAGTGTTTTATATATTTATTCAGTTATGCTATGCTTCTTTAAACAAACTATATGAACAAAAAGCATTTTATTAACTTCTGAATTTATATTTCCTTTTCCTTACCTTTAAAATATCATAGCTAGGATGGTTAAGTGTTCTGTAAACATAACCTAAACGAAGAATGGGGAAAAAAGAAGAACCAATGTTTGTTCCATGTATAAAACTAAGAGAAGTCGTTTTTCTAATAATAAACCTGTATCTGTTCATGCCATTTAACCTGCAACAAATGGAAAATGTCTACTTTTCCATTTGGGGATTTAAGTTTTTTCAAAGTTATTTCTTTTTATTAATATTGCTATTTCCAGCCGGGCTCGGTGGCTCAGCCTGTAATCCCGCGCCTTTGGGAGGCTGAGGTGAGTGGATTGCCTGAGCTTGTGGGTTCGAGACCCGCCTGGGCAGCGAGACCTCATCTCTACAATAAATCAAAAATCAGCCGGGCGTGGTAGTGCATGCCTGTAATTCCGGCTACTTGGAAGGCTGAGGCAGAAGGATCACCGGAACCCAGCAGGTCAAGGCTGTGGTGGCCGGCAGCGGCCACTGCACTCCAGTCTGGGCGACAGAGTGAGACTCCAATTCAAAAAAATAAATAAATAAATATTGCTATTTCCTAATGATTTAAAGAATAAGGGAAGACCAGATCTGCATCCATCCATGCTAAAAGTACTTAGCTGCTATTGCTAGGTACAGTGGTGCTCGTCTATAATCCCAGCTACTCAGGAAGCTGAGGTGTGAGAACTACTTGAGCCCAAGAGTTCAAGACCAGCCTGGGCAACATAGTAAGGCCTCACCTCAAAAAACAAAATAAAGTTAAAAAAAAAAAAAGCACTTAGCTGCTAACAATAGATTATCTACAAACTTATTATTTCTTATAGTCCATTCATTCACTCAACATACATATGCATTAACCACATTTTGGGCAGTAGACTAAAGAGGTAGAATTATATTACTACTCAGTTTCTACCTAGGCTAGTTGGGAAGACAAACAAGTGACAATTCTAATACCACAATTGTATATAAAGTAACATGGAAGCAGAGACAAGGCTACCAACTAAGCTGAGGAGTCAGGAAAAAGGTCTGGGTGGAGCTGTGATACCTGGGTTGAGTCTTGAGCTACTTAAGAGATAATGAGGAAGGCAACTCTAGATTTTAAAACTCTCAAGTTATAGAGGCACCTTGGCTTGAGAAAGTGGGCAAACATGTCAGAACCACAAAAGCAAACATGAGGGTATGGGTAGTAATAAAAAGAGATCTGAAGAGGCTGAAAACGTGGGCAAGACAAAGATAATGAAGTACCCCAGAGCCTACCCCAAGAGATTCAGATTTGTCTTCTAAGGTACCTATCTATATGAACCTCTAGGGATTCGTACACAGATCTTCAAGGCTATGAGATTTCTCTAAGAGAAACCTTTTATTTTCAATTTGATAAAAATCTATTTTAAAAAAAGGGTATTAACAAAAGAACACTCTGGATAATCCCAGTGACCACCTTTTAATTAAGTGCTGCCATAACATTTCAGTTCACACATATATGTTTAGGAGTGCACTACTAAAAAAATAAGTGATACCATCTGTTGTTGGTGTGGGCTAATGAGAAAGAAATGGTGACTCCTGTATGAAATAATGTTGTTTGTTAAATAAATATCAAATGAAGCCATGACACACTGAACAAAGGAAGTGTGTGAAGTGATTTAAATAAAGAAAAGAGGTGAGGGCATCAAGTAATCTCTCCACACAAGGGCAACTTGGACAGGTCTTTCTGAAAGGAAGGTACACCATGGAGGACCCACCTTTAGAGCTCTTCAGGTCCAGCAAAACAGTCTCATTGGTCACAGTGAAAACGTATTCATTTGAATATATTGGTTTTATAGTTTTGTTTTATTTAACTTATAAATGTTTGGGTGATATACTTGTATAAAAGATACAACATAAGGAGTTTATACCTCATTTTATATTTGCATATATGTGACATACTGAAAATATTTTGAGTTAACAATAGAGGATCCTAGGTATCTATTTGAGTTAAAGAAATTCTGCTATGGGTGTTTGGGAGCCACTAAAAGACTGTAACATGCAAGTAACAGCTGGTGCTTTAGAAAATTCACTCTGGTAGCAGTGTGGAGGGTTGGAATTAAAAGAACCCAACTATAGCAGAAAGAGTAGTTAGGTAGCTCCTTACTAACATGATAGAAATGGTGAGAGGTTGGTTGGGTGTGGTGGTGCAGCTTATTATGTCAGCTACTCAGGAGGCTGAGGCAGGAGGATCACTTGGGCCCAGGAGTGTAGTGAGTTATGATCATGCCAGCCTGTACTCCCAGCCTGGGTGACAGAGACTCTCATCTCAAAATAAAATAAAATGGTGAGGCCCCAAATTACTTAGATGAAAAGAAGATGCAATGGGCAAAAGAATCCAAAGCAGTTGGCTGTGAGTGAGGAGAAATGGGCCATCTAGGAGGACTCTCAGGTTTAGTGGTGAGTTAAAGACCACAGAAAGGAAGACAAAACAAGTGCGGGGTGAAGGGGAAGCAGAAGAGAGAGTTGATGAATTCAATTCAGCAATGATTTGAATTTCATTTCAGCCAAAGAAAACCCAGTTATCTTTTCTGGGTTCCAGTTTTCTCAGTGACAGCTGCATTCATGAATTACCAAATTAACTATTGTAGCGCTCTCTAAAAATACACAACACACTCTACCGTATGCTGTAAATACATCATGAAAAATCAGCAAAAGCTCAGGCCCTGAAGGAAAATCAGCAGGGTTAAAAAGAGATATGGCAAATTTTGACTAAACATTCAAACTGCAACCCAACACATTCACCCAGTACAGTAAGTTCTCACTAAGTGTCATCAATAGGTTCTTGGAAGCTGCGACTTTAAGCAAAATGACATATAAAGAAACCACTTTTACCATAGGCTAATTGATATAAACAAGAGTTTTAAGTTCCCACAGCATATTTCTGATCACAAAAACATCACCAAACTTCTAAATAAAGATTAAATATCTAATATTAAACACTGGAATAAATGGGAGGTATTCACACATTCAATAAAGATTACTAACAACCAATAAGATAATTATTTACCCAGTTAATAACTTAGGGCACAAGCCAAGCTAACCCGGACAGATGCCACCACATCACAGGGCACACTCACACATAACCACTCAGACAGGGACCATGTAGGCACGCCAATGAGCCTAATGCGCACTCCTCGATGTGAAAGGAAGTGAAGTACCCTGGTGCACTCCGAGAAAGCCAGCGCATATATGAGGAGAACGTGCAAAATCCACAGAGGTGGACATAGGGAATTTATTTTTTTCTCCCTTATCGTTATAACCGGCAATGAACAAAAAGACATCATTCGAGGATCTGCTGTACTATACTTATTGCTCTGCCAATAATATGTGACACTCGTTTTCCTTGAGTACCAAGTCCACGTGGGAGATGCAGAGACACCACCCTCAAGAGACTTGCAGCAAAGCAATGGGACACATCTAGCGCATGAGTACTGAAAATATAGTATGCTGGGAACTTTGAACATACAAGCAGGGCTAGTTAACAAAGTATATCTTCTACTCAGAGAAATCAACAAGGAATATTTTAGACAGTCCAGTAAGAATGTAAGCATTTTATATTGTATTTCCTATAAGGAAAAAAATGGAGGCGGGAGGAAGGAAAATGCAGCAATGTTCGCACAACCAACCCGCATCCGCGCTGGCCACACAAGGGCGGGCCTTCGAGAACGAGTAATTCAATCCTAGTTTGGTGTGTTGAATAGGAAGCCAGCATCTTCCACCATTAACTCATAATACAAAAGCAGAGTGTTTACACACCCCAAATGTTTAACCATCATTCGCAACCACAACAAACAACGTGCGGCCGAAAGGAAAGCCGCCGGGCGTACCTTTAGCACAGGACGCAGCTTTTAGGGGGGTGGGTCGCACTGGACACAGCGCCCCTCCCGGCGCTTGGCCAGAGCCTCCCAAAGCGAAGGTCAGGGGCTGAGAGGCGTGGGGATAAGACACGGAAGCCTACGCGCAGGAAGCGCACTTGGAGACCAGAAGGCGGCAGCACAGCGCCCACAGGGGGCTCCCCCGCATGCCGCTTGCAGACCCGGAAAGGAGCGCCGGGCCGACAGCGCAGCCTCCGCTCCCCGGAGGAGGCGGGGCCCCGGCGGGGAGGAGGCGGGGCCGCAGCGGAATGGAGGCGGGGCCTTGATCCCCGCCGCCTCATGGGGATTGTAGTTCTTGGCAGAAGCCAGGCTTCCTCTGGAGGCCCCGGGAACTACATTTCCCGGTGAAAAAGCGGCTCTGGACAACCGCACGGTACAGGAGCGTCTCACTGTCAGCAGCCTGGGGGCGTTTGATGGGCAGGCCGGGAAGGCAGTGTTTTCGTCTTCTCTCATCTCTGCGTTCTCAGCGGCGCGGGCTCTGCTTTCTCTCCCCCGGTCGTCAGGTGCCTAGTGTCCAGCCCGGTGTCAGCCCTTCCGGGGCCGCATCAGGAAAGTTGGGGCCACGAGGTTCGGAGCTAGCGGCTGCTGGAGGCGCGCCCCACTGCGGCCCAGCCGACCCAGCGCTGGGTCCGCGCTTCCATGGGCCCGACCCGGAAGCCCAACGTGTGCCGCCGGCTGAGCCGCCGGGCGCTAGGCTGCTTCTCGCGCGACGCAGGCGTGGTGCAGAGGACGAACCTGGGTATCCTGCGGGCGCTGGTGTGCCAGGTGACCACCCTGCCGCCGGGCGCGGGGCGAAGGGTGGTGGGGCACCTGGCGGCCAAGCCTCCTGCTGGGTGCAGATTTTCCGCCCCGGGACCTGCTTCTAAAAGAGTCACATGGGATGGGGAGGAGGGTACAAGCCCTGAATGTGGGGGATTAATAAATAGGTGCTCATAGGCTCGCCAGATGCTTTTAGTTTTAAGCTATTCATGTCTTCCTGCAAACAATCATTCTAAAAGTTGCTCACTCCATTAAACTAAAACGTGAGGGCAGAATGGAGGAAGAATTGAAAATAATGCTTTTAATAATGTACGCGAAATTACTTTGAAAATAAAATTTAACTATCCGCCTTATAATTGGTATACAGTAGAGACTTATGAGTAATTTCCTAAATCGAAATTCCTCATGTCTTTCAGGAAAGTACTAAATTTAAGAATGTTTGGACAACTCATTCCAAGTCACCTATAGCCTATGAGAGAGGAAAGATATATTTTGACAATTATCGGCGTTGTGTCAGCAGGTAATTTTTTAGTAATTGTTTTTGCTGTGATTTACCTCGCTGCTGATCTGAGCTGTAATTTTTATAGCAACACGTGTACATTAGTGCTTCGTGAAATAGAATGGTAAAATGTATGTAATCTAAAGATCTTGTTAAATCTAAAGGTACCAATTTAATCTTTGTAGATAACATTTTAAAACAAAACTACTTCATAGTATGGGAAAAAATATTTCTGTGGGTACTATTTAGTATTTTACTCTACTTAAAAGATACTGGATCAAGAACCCAGTGACCGAACAAATATTTGATGCTGCTTTGGAGAAGAATTTCTGTATTTTGTTTTGGAATTACTTGCTTTTATTGTAATTTTTTTTTTTAAGAGACTGTCTCGCTTTGTTGCCCAGGCTGTATCCCCATCTTTCCTTCCTTTATTTATTTTTTATTTTTTTTAATTTTTGAGAGATGGAGTCTTACTCTGTCACCCAGGCTGGAGTGCAGTGGTGTGCTTACCACCACCACAGCCTTGACTTGCTGGGCTCAGGCAATCTTTCCACCTTAGCCTTCTAAGTAGCTGGAACTATAGGCAGGTGCCACCACCAGCTAATTTTTTTTTTTTTCAATTGAAGTCTCACTCCATAGCCCAGGCTGAAGTGCAGTGGAACGAACGCTCATGACCACTCCAGTGTCAACCTGCTTGGCTCAGGCGACCCTTTTGCCTCAGCCGATCCTTCCTCCTCAGCCGATGCTTCCCCCTCAGCCGATCCTTCCGTCTCAGCCGATCCTTCCGCCTCAGCCATCCTTCCGCCTCAGCCTTCCAAGAAGCAGGAACTACAAGCACTCATTACCACACCTGGCTAATTTTTTGATTTATTGTAAGAGATGAGATCTCATCAAGTCGCCCAGGCTGTTTCTCGGTCCTGTGGGCTCAGGCAATCCCCTCTCCTCAGCCTCCCAAAGTGCTGGGATTACAGGCTTGAGCCACTGCATCCAGCCAGCTAATTTTTTAATTTAATTTTTTGATTAATTGTAGAGACAAGGTCACACCAAGTTGCCCAAACTGATCTCAAACCCCTGGGCTCAGGCAGTCTCCTCTCATCTCCACCTCCCAAAGTGCTGGGATTACAGGCATGAGCCACTATGACTGTCTTGCCTTTTTATAAGAGAAAATTTTTCCAAAAAAGCATAGTATTTATAGATTCAAACTGCTTAACAGTTAGTCTAATCCACAACCATCCAACATGAGACTGAAGGAAAGCCACAATGAGCCCCCATATACCTATTATCTAGACCCCAAAATTATCAAAATTTGCCATACTTGCTTTGTCTAACCCATTCCTTCCCATTTCCTTACCTCTGCACCAAGTGTTTTAGAGCATATGCTAAACATTGTACATACTTCAGCTTGCATCTCTAAAAATATGGGCATTCTCTTTTTGTTAGGGCACACTCCCAGTGGGGCCTCCAGAATGTTAGTTAGGTCAGGCCCGCTGGGGGTATGGGATGTCCGATGTGCAATTGGATGCCACATGAAAGATGCAAAGAATTGCACAGAAGTTCGATTAGAAAATATAGTTTATTTAGAAAGTAAGTTAGAGAGCGAGAGAAAGAAGATTCACCTCCTGAAGGTAGAGGAGGGGGCCAAAACCAGGAAACATGGCCTGGCCATAGCTCAGCAAGACAGTGGCCTAGCAAGGGCAACTGGCTGCCTGAGGTTGAATGCTTTAAACTCTTCCCTTTGATTGGGGAAGGTCATTAAGGTGATTGGGTGGTGGTCTGCTCTGCGTCATTGCATAGGGGCAGGTAAGCGCAGATGCTAATGTCAGGTGAAGGACAGCAGGCAGATGGGTGGATTAGTCAAATGATTGCTGCCATGTTGGTGGGGTCTGTATGTGTCACTTAGGTAATCAAGGGCTGATTCGATTAACTTGGGGATTTGGGCCTGGCGGGGTTTTTCCTCTAAGAGACCTGTGAGACTTTTCATTCACAAGTTCCTTGACTAAAAGGTGGTCTTATTATCATTTCTATGGCTTCAGGCAGCCAAGAGATGATCTTTGACCTTCTGTGCCTTCCACAAGGAACCTGAAAGTTTCCTAGAGATTATTGTGCTAAATCATGAATTGAAAGGTTGGGCTGTCCTTGTCTTGCATCTGATGGAGATTTGCCAAGGTGTTTCTTGGGGTAGGCTGCTGCTTGGCCTGCAGTAAAATGTAATTTTAAAATGTCTGAACGCCTCCTAAAACCTGCCTGTTGGAAATTTATCTTATCTTTGTCTAACCTGTGCTAGATTCAAAGCGTGTCAGGGGTAAAGTCTAAGCAAAAATGGGTATGCTGAGGCAAAAAGACTACACTAAACTAAGTTTATTCTAGGTTTCTGTAGGTACCTCCTTTCACTTTTTAAGAGCTTTTTAAAGTTGTGATTCACATACCAAACTCTTTACCCATTTAAAGTGTACTCAGTAATTTTTAGTACAGATATACACAGTTATCGCCACAGTTGATTTTAGAACATTTTCATCACCTCAAAAAGAAACCAACTACCATTGCCCTAAGCAACATTAGTCCAACTTCCATCTGTACAGATTTACCTATTCTGGACATTTCATATAAATGGAATCATAGAATATATGGTCTTTTGTGACTAGCTTTTTCAGTTAGTATAATGTTTTCAAAGTTCTCATCAATGCTGTAGGTGTATCAGTATTCCTTTATGTCATCAGGTAATATTCCATTGTTTGAATATACTGCATTTTACTTATCAGCTTATCAGTTGTTAAACTTTGGTGTTGTTTCTACCTATTGGCTATTGTGAATAATGCTGCTGTAAACACTTGTGTATAATTTTTATGTGGGCATATGTTTTCAGTTCTCTTGGATATTTACCTACGAGTGGAATTGGTAGGTCTTATTACAACTCTGTGTTTAACCATTTAAAGAACTGCCGTACTGTTTTCCAAAATGATTGTGCCTTTTTACATTCCCACAAGCAGTGTATGAGGGTTCTGATTTTTCCATATCCTTGTCAACACTTATTATCTGACTTACGGTATCTTGTGGTGGTTTTGATTTGCATTTCCCTGATGACTACTAATATTGGACATCTTTTCCTGTACATGTTGGCTATTTGTATATTTGCTTCGGAGAAATGTCTGATTAGATCCTTTGCGTGTTTTTAAATTGGGGTTGTCTTTTTATTATTGAGTTCTTTATGTATTTTAGATACAAATCCTATCCAACATATGACTTGCAAATACTCCCATTGTGTGGGTTGTCTTTTTATTTTCTTAGTAGTATTCCTTGACACACAAAAAGGCTATTATAATCTTGAGATCTAGTTTATCTGATTTTTCTATGCTATTGGTATCATATCTAAGAATCCATTGCAAAATCTGAGATCATGAAGATTTGTCCCTAAGTTTTTTTTAAGAGTTTATACTTTCAGCTCTTATGTTTAGGAGGTTGATCCATTCTGAGTTAATTTTAAAATATGGTATAAGGTAAGGCTCCAACTCCTGTTTTTTTTACATATGGTATATAGTTGTCCCAGCACTATTTGTTGATAAGACTGGTCTTTCTCAATCTCAAGTTCTTACCACCCTTGTCAAAAATCAACTGACTATCAACACTTGGGTTTACTCTCTAGATACTGAATCTGTTCCATTGATCTGTATGTCTATCCTTATGTCAGTACTACATTGTCTAGTTTACTATTACTGTGTATTAGTACTATTTCTTCCTTAAATGTTTGGTAGAATTTACTATGGAAATAATCTAGAGTTGGCACTTTCTGTTTCAGGAAGTTATTCATTATTGATTCCATTTCTTTAATAAATACAGACTTATTCAGATTATCTATTTATATTGGGGTGAATTTTGGTACATTGTATCTTTTAAGGAATTCATCTAAATTAACAATTTCTGAGCATAGAATTGTTCTTAATATCTCTTTATTATCCTTTTAATGTCCATAGGATCAGTAGTGATGATCCCGTTTTAATTTCTCATATTAATAATTTATGTCTAAATTATTTCTATTTTCTTGGTTAGCCTAACTAGAAGTTTATCAATTTTATTGACCTTTTCAAAGAAACGGTCTTTGGTTTTATTTTCTTTATTGATTTTTGTTTTTCAGTCTTAATTAATTTCTGACCTAATTTTTATTATTTATTTTATCCTGCTTACTTTGGATTTAATATGTCCTCTTCTAGTTTCTTAAAGTAGAAACTTATATTGTTGATTTTAGGTCTTTCTCCTTGTTTAATACATGCTCTTAATGCTATGCACATAACTCTAAGCACTGCTTTTGTTGAATCCCACAAATGCTGATATGTTGTGCATTCATTTTCATTTAGTTCAAAATATTTGTATATTTCTATTGAGACTTCTTTGAGCCATGTGTTATTTAAAAGTCTCCAAAATTTTGAGATTTTCCTGTTATTCTGTTATTGATTTTGGGCTTAATTCCATTGTGATCTCGGAGTATACTTTGTATTATTTCTTGTCTTTTAAATTAGTTAAGTTGCGTTTTATGGCCCAGAATGTTGTGTGTCTTGGTGAATGTTTCATGTAAGCTTGAGAAGAATGTGTTTTCTACTGTTGTTGAATAAAGTATTCTCTATACATACCCGTTAGATTCAGTTGATAGATGGCACTGTTCAGTTCAAGTATATCCTTACTGACTTTCTACTGGCTGAATCTGTTAATTACTTATAGAGGGGTATTGAAGTCTGCAGCTATCATAGTGGATTTGTCTGTTTCTCCTTGCAGTTCTGTCAATTTCTGCATCATCATGTTCTGATACTTTATTGTTAGATTAAGGATTCTTATGTCTTCTTGGAGAATTTACCCGCTTTATGTAATGCCCTCTTATTCCTGTTAATTTTCCTTGTTGAATTTTGCTTTGTTTAAAATTAATATAGCTACTCCAGCTTTCTTTTGTTTAGTGTTTAATTTATTACTTTCTGACCTAATCAGAAATTAACTAAAAGATAGATGGCATGGGTATATCTTTTCCCAGGCCTTTA